AACCCAGGGCTTTTTTGTAGCAGGAACTCCTTTGCATGTTAGGCCACACACCCCTAATGTAGCCAATCCGAATGAGTTCCTGCTGTTGGGTGTGGCCTATTATGCTAATGAGTTCCTGCTGGGCGTGGCCAACTTGGGAGCCAACCGGAACTCAGTTCCTGTGTGTTCCTGCCCAAAAATAGCCCTGGACCTAGATGTAAAGCCCGGTTAGGGCAAGAGTGCAATAACTCTTCCTCCTTCCCTGTTAACCCTCCAAGCCAGGGGTGTCGAACTCATTCGTCATGAGGGCCGGATCTGACATAAATGAGACCTTGTTGGGCCGGGCCATGTGTGTCATAAAAGGTAATGCCAGGTAGCAGAAATATAAACTTTATAAAGGACACAAACACAAAAGGGTTTTTTTTTACTTAAAATAAAATCATACTTAAAACATTAGCAGTCTTGCAAAATTTTATTTAAGTGTCTGATAACTGACACCTCTTGCTCTGAATTATTGCGTCAAAATGTCTGTGCTGTTGCAATCTTGAGTATGCTGTTCAGCTGTGTATCGCTAAGCTGCAAACCTATGATGATGCAGCAGCGGCAGAACTAGAAGCAGAAGACAGCCAGTTCCACTGTGGGCCTGATAGAAGCCCTCCAGGGGCCTGATCTGGCCCCGAGCCACATGTTTGACAGCCCTGCTCCAAGCAGCACCCAATAATAATCAGGATAAACTTTTGAAAGAGGATTATTTTTGGAGCATTACTAACCCCCCCCCCCGCAGGTGCTTCAGAACAGCATGTTTGGAAGTGTTCCTTTATCCTCAGCAATTTGCGGAAACTATTTCCTTCATGGATGCTTCAGAGCTTGTTTAATGTAACCTCACTTAAACTGGCAGAGAGTCAGTGTGGTGTAGTGGTTAAGAATATGAAACTAGAACCTGGAAGACCCAGGTTCAAACCCCTACTCAGGTCATGGAAGTTTGCTGGGAGACCTTGGGCCAGTAACACTTTCTCAGTCTAACCTACCTTGCAGGGCTGTTGTGAGGATAAACAACAGATGTGGGAACAAAGTTTGAGTCCAGTAGAACAACACTTCAACTTTCCAGGACACCCAGTGGGGGACCTCAAAGTAGCTGCATGATGTTATTACAACACTCAGGACAATGGAACCCCCAGGACTGAACAGAAATGTTGGCTTCTTATCTCATTATACATGCTAAGTCACTCAGTTCTCACTTATATCCGGAAATCAAACTTTGATGGTCTTAAAGGTGCCACTGGACTCAAACTTAGTTTCCACATCTGTTGATAATACCTTTATTATCTGTATACCAACTTACTGCTATTTACATGTCTTACCTAATGGGGCTGCCCTTGTCCCAAATCTGGAAGTTGCAGCTGGTGCAGAATGCTGCGGCCAGGCTGTTAATGGGCCTCCTGCGTCGGGAGCACATCCAGCCTGTGTTTAGGCTGCTGCACTAGCTGCCAATTGCTTACCAGATTCGCTTTAAGGTGCTGGTGCTTACCTTTAAAGCCCTATATGGCCAGGGTCCGGCTTACCTGAGGGACTGCCTTTTCCCATTTGTGCTCCAGAGAGCCCTATGGTCTGGGGCCCAACAACGTCTATCTATACCGGGCCCAAAGGAGGCGAGACTTGCCGTATGCCGTTACCAGGGCCAGGGCGTTTTCGGTGGCGGCTTCCTACTGGTGGAACAACCTCCTGGATGAGATCAGGGCCCTGTGGGACCTCTCAGTTCCACAGGGCCTGCAAGACGGAGCTCTTCCACCAGGCTTTCAAATAGGAAACGCCACCAGTTACCATCAATCCGGAATATCGGACTGGCCCACTCTGAGCCTCATCAGCAAACATCTGGACCGTGGGACTGATTTTAAGACTCGAAGACAGAAGGAATGCAGACACAAACTATTCATCTTAAGGTTACTCTGATGTAGCGAGCACTTTATTGTTAATATTGTTTTTAAGGGATTTTAATATTTTTATTGTTTTATTTGTATCGGCTTGTTGGCCGTCTTCTGTAAGCCGCCCAGAGCCTGTTTACAGGGTGGGCGGGGTATAAATGTAAATATAAATAAATGTGTTATGCCAATCTTAGCTGTGTTCATTGTTCTTACTTAGGCATCTTGACTCTAATTAGCTCTTCTTGGCCATGAATCCCCCCTACCTATATGTAATATTTGAGGAAATCTGTTTCAATGAATCTGAAGGAGTGTACATAGGAAGTCTCTCAGTTCTCACTTATACACAGAACTGAGCTTTATTTGACTTGTAGATGCCATTGGACTCAAACCTCATTCCCACATGTTCGTTAACTCTTGTATTTGTATGCTAATTTACTGCCATTCACAGATCTTTCTTCCATTCAGTCTCAGCTATATTCACCCAGTACTAATACATCTTGACTCTGTGATCACACACACTAAACAAACCCAGAAAGACAGTTTGGTGTAGTGGTGAAGTGCGTGGATTCTAATCTGGGAGAACCCGGTTTGATTCCCCACTCCTCCACATGCAGCTGCTGGTGTGACCTCGGGCCAGTCATAAGTTATTTCAGAGCTATTCTCTCAAGGGCAGTTTCTGTCAGAGCTCTCTCAGCCCCACCTACCGCACAGGGTGTCTGTTGGGGGAGAGGAAAGGAGTAGTTTGTAAGCCGCTCTGAGACTTCCGAGTGAAGGGCGGGGTATAAATCCAATCTCTTCTTCTTCTTTCAACACACTTTCCAACTGGACTTTGCCATTTCGCACAGTAAAATTAAGTTGGAAAGTGCATTGAAAGTGGATTATATAGTCTGTGGGTGTTCTCACACATGCTAAATAATGCTGTTTCAATCCACATCAGTGACCATTTGCAAGTGGATTTTGCCATGTCACACAGCAAAATCCAGTCACAAAGTGGATTGAAAGTGTTATTTAGTTTGTGTGAAAGTGCCCTGTGTGACTGCAGCCCTTACGACCTTTCCTAACAACAACCCCCACGCCCTATAAGTAATGTTTCAGGGATTCTGTTCTGCTGTATCTGAGGAAGTGGACTTGCAGTCAAAAGCTTAGGCCGTGAATAAAACTTTTTTGGTCTTAAAGGTACCGCTGGACTCAATCTTCATCCAGATCCCTGTTAAGTCCCTTTCCAGGAACAAACTTGTCATTATGTTGTCAAAGGCTTTCAGGGCCAGAGTTCATTAACTGTTGTAGATTTTCCGGGTTGTATGGCCCTGGTCTTGGCATTGTAGGACCTGATATTTCACCGGTAGCTGTGACTGGCATCCTCAGAGGTATAACACAGAAAGATGGAGTACTCTCTGTGTCATGGTGAGAAGAGAGAAAAAAGGTAGGCAGGTAATTTATATCTACTTGGGAAGATGGGGTAGGTCTGAGTCATTATCTTGTAGGAGTTCCCCGGGCTGTGAACATGCTAATGGAGGAGCTTTCCTGAGGAGGTGCTTTTGTATATGGATTGTTTCCTGAGGAGGTTCTTTAGCATGTGGATAGGCTGTTGAAATCCTAATCTTATCTGTGGTGCTATTGTCAGATGTGGAGCTTTTTGTGTTTTTCGAGACATTGTCATTCTTTTGATCTTTTTTTTAAAAAAGCGTCCTCACGATCTTGCATGCTAACTTAACAACTATATATAGTAACTATATATACAGCTATGATCTGTAATTGCATCTCATCGTCCAACGAAGTGTGCAGTGCAGGCGAAAGCTCACACCCTGAATACAACTTTGTTGGTCTTAAAGGTGCCGCTGGGCTCTTTTAACTTTTCCCTTTCTTGGCCGTTCTCGTTTCCAAGGGCTGTGCGTTTGCGGAGGGCTCGCAAGAGTCCGTGGCTTTCCTTCCTCCACAATGGAAACAGCTTCTTCTTCTTCTTCTTCGCAGTTCTAAATTTATTCCTCCGTCCCGCCGCATCTCGTCGTTTCCAGGAAAAGCCTCTGTGCCGCGGACTTGTGAACTGACCCTCCGGGCGTCTTCGGCGGGGCAGCAGCCCAAGAAAGGGGCGGCTTTCTCTACTCCTCCCTCCCGCCCCTTCCAGGGAAACCCAACCGGTGAAGTTTCCCCTCCGGATCTCCGGGCCGCACCCGTTGCACTCCCGCCTGAAGACCTCGCCCTGCTCGAGACCACCGGACCCTATTGACCACCAGCGCCTGAGGTAAAATTAATCGGCCCTCCCACCTTCCCTCAGCCGGTTCCGTCTCCCTATTGGCTCTGGATGAGCCACGAAGGCCCACCCGCCCGCTCCTCCTGTCAATCAACGCGCCGACCCCTCAACCGCCCAGCCGAGCGAACGAATACGGCGGTTTGGGCGGGAACTTAAAAACAAAAAAACAACAACAACAACCCTGACGGACTTG